AACTGTCTTAGGGACTCCGACTCCGGATTTTTCCTCGAGGTTTACTCCTGAAGCCTTTTCCATGGAAGAATATAGCCGCAAGGCAGCGGAGGTTTAAAATCAGGGTTTTCCTTCCCCTAGATGAACTGCCTTCCTAGGCTGACGAGTATCATCTCCCCGAAGCAACTGGTTATAAGGCGCCAGTGACCCGCCTGCGCCCCTTCTCCTGTCAGTTAAAACAGTTCCGCCGGGTTTACAAGCTAAACCGCACGTGAAGGCCAGGAGCTGGACTTGGTTGTCAGAGTTAATACACTGATTAACTGATGGAGAAAATGTTCCACACCAGCTACACTGTCTGTAAAAGCTTTTCAAAATAGTTTAGGAGATGGCTATGAATCTGCCTTGTGATATATGCTATAAATGTCACCTGCATCTAAAATAATGAATAGATTAGTAAGACAAGTGGCAGTTGGGAAATGCATCAGAGAAAATGTTTGACAAAATAATAGTTACTTTTGTCAAAGGCCAGGATCTTTGTGAAACTGTTCATTATCAAAGTTCCTAGACTGACTGAACAGTTTTCTTAAGAACAGGTTTATCACCAGATTAGATACAAATCAATTATTTTTTTTTTTAATTAAAAATGGTTTTGGAGGGGAAAAACCTATCTAAAGTTAGTGAGGTACTACTGTCACCAAGCAACATACTGGACTAATTCACTCTAACTTGAAAAAGCAGGAAAGCTTGTTTTTGTTTTCCAGGTTATGAACAAATAGGAAAATGAAGGCAAAGATGACTGAGTTAGCTGCAGAAACCAATATTTTAAGTTTCTCATGTTGACCTGGCTGACAGAGTAAATTTAATGTTTGTGGGTTTTTTTTTTTTAATTTTCACTTAACATTTTTTTCAACTAAATTGGATAACAAAAAACAAACCCGGTTTAAAAAAAAGTTAAATGTTTAACCAAATTAAAAAAAGTATATGCTTGTTTTGTTAAAATACTATGTTTGCTGTTAAAGAAAAAAATCCAGAATGCATAAGATTGATTTAGTTAAATCAATTTAAATGTATGTCTGGTGGTGATCTCCTAATACAGCATGGCAAGAAAATCCTCCAAATATTAATGATTATCCTGTTGAATTGGAGATAGTTCACCTCCTAATAACTTCATAAATATCTGCTTCAGTTACCTTTAGTAAATGAAATAATCATTAATTTTCTAATATAGTTGTAAAACTAATCTGAAAAGTTTTCAAAATAAATCACTGATTAAAATGTATAGGGTGTACCTTAAAATAAAACCTACATCTATCTCTGAATTGTGAAGAATATGTATTAAGGTTATAACAACCAACGTGAATGCACTTTTATGTAGAAAACCATGATTAAATCAAGTCTTCCTGACTAGTGATTTAAATCATAATTTAAATCCTATACACTCTGATTCTGTTGCTCTGATAAAGATTGTCTGTGCTTAATGGAGCCATTGTGATGTTGAAGACCCTGGTCTTGGTTAAGCTGTTGATTTGAAGTGAGTTCTGCATGTGAATCAGAACAGTAAAAGAGTTTGAGCATTATTTTTTTTTCTTAAAATAATTTTTTAACGAGAAAATTGAAAAAATATAATAGTGAAAATTCTCAGTTTCAAGGCCGTTTTTGATAGAAAAATATGTATATGGACAAACTTCAATCAGGTGTTGCTGATTCTTAAGCCATCTGTAAACAGTATAATGAAGAACAGAATCTTCAACATAGCAATGGCTCCTTTCATGCATGACAGGATCTTCATTTGGTCCTGAGCCAGTTGGGTTCTTGGACAAAAGTCTTGTCTAAACAAGAAAGTGGCACAGTTAAGTTAAAATATTACTTTATAAAAAATTCAGTTTTAACTGAACACTGATGCAGTTTACTCTTGTAGATGAAGCCAGTGGTTTTGTTCTCCATAAAATAAATAACTGGCCAGGAGTTGGGAAATAAAAATAAATAAATAAATAAAAACAAAAGCCATACAAAGCACTGCATGTGCTTACACAAAACTGCATGTATTGTTTTTGTGTGTTTAAGGTTTCTCTGTACATAATAATTTACTTTCAACCAAAAAAGGAAGGAAATTAAAAGCTAAGGCTGTTTGTTTGATCTACTCACTTGCCTAGAGATATACACCTTACGGCTACACATTAGCATAATAACTATACACCACAGACCAAAAACGTTAACTCTACTCAAGTAGTATTGGCAGGTTTCCAGCACCACATTGCCTAAACCTGCAAAACCTTGTAAACTTGTTTGGTAGGGACTGTGAGGGTGGAGAGGTAAGGAGTCTTGTCTGGTCTGGTTTGTGGTAGAAGTGGGTAGACTTAGTTTGGAGTGGTATGTGATGGTTGTGCTAGTAATAAGGTGTATGTGCCTCTGGCAGACGAAATGTACTATTGGTAACCTTAACTTCATTTAAAGAACAAACTTTATGGTAGTGGCTCTCAAACTGTGGCTCAATTAGCTCACATTTGCAGCCCAGCTGTGTGCTAAAAATATTCACAATTTGCTCAGGTTTTGGGATAGGGGTGTGGCTAGGGCCAACTGAGGGGGACACATCCTCAAGCAGCCTTGTTGTAGAGCTCCTGCCAGCAACAAGCTGATGGGTGGTGCATAGGTTCAGGGTGTGGGAGAGGTAGTCTTTTGGGAGATTTGGAGAGTATGGGGGTGGAGGGTGCTGGGCATTATAGGTATAGGAACGAGGGGTCTTTGGGGCTGCTGCAGCACCCCCAGGTTTTATGTGGGCCTTCACTCCTGACCTTGGGCCTGGAGTCCTGGCTGTCAGCCTCATGTCTGAGTCCCGGCTGTCTGCCCCCGCACAATGGGCCTTTGATCCTTTTCCTGCTTTTTGGAGGGGACTCTTAAGTGCAGAGTTCTGGGCATGGATATCAGGTTGGCACTGAGCTTCTCAATCGTTGGCCCACATAACACATTTTTGACCACATATGTGACACTGTGATAAATAGGTTGAGAATCACTGGTATCTGCTGATACCATTATTGGACCTAACCAAGTGAGTTATAAGATCAAGAACACATATTCCTGCGCATCCAGAAATATAATCTATGCTATCATGTGCCGAAAGTGTCCGTCTGCTATGTACATTGGACAAACATCTCAGACACTTCGCCAAAGGATTAATGCCCACAAAACAGATATCAGACAAGATCACAAAGAGAAAACAGTTTCTTGCCATTTTAACCAGAAAGGACACTCTCTCAATGACTTAACCACCTGCATTCTGCTACAAAGACCTTTTTACATCTGCACTTGAAAGGGAATCCTCTGAACTGTCATTCATGTTAAAATTCGACACTTTCCAACAAGGACTTAACAAACATTTGAACTATCTCACCCATTACCAAGACAGTTTCCCCAATTATCACCTCTAATACCATTAACTCACAAACATCCCACTCTCCCTACCTCTAATATCATCAATTCACAGACACTTACCTTCCTTCCTCCCCCCCCCCCTCCCCCTCCTGTTCTGCAATGTGATTTGTCCTTTTCATATTTGTTCATTTTTTTAAATTGTTTCCTTTGGTATATATGGTTGTGACTACTTTCTTCCACTATTTGATCTGAGGAAGGGGGTCTGGCCCACGAAAGCTCATCATCTAATAAACCATCTTGTAGTCTTTAAAGTGCTACATTGTCCTGCATTTTGGTATAAGGTACAGAGCAAATTAACTGACACAGTACAGTGTGCATACATGCCCATTAGATGAAAATCACTCTTACTTGAAATGGAATCAGTCATACTTCATTTATGATCTTTCACCAGATATTGCCTATAGCTGTCTACAGCAACCCATATTTTCAATAAAATCTGGGAATTGATTGAGTTTGACTGTGAGAAATCTGGAGTTACAATCAAACAGGGATGAAAAACAGAGAACAAAATATTGCATGTACATGCATAGAGATTTTTCTGTGTTCCCTTATGTGAATTGTACTCTTCTTGCTGCTCAGGTATGTTTATGCATCTGCCTAGTTCTTGTTCCCAGAATAAGGAAAAACGTATTTAAAAGGTTGAGTGTTAGTGAAACAATTAAATTAACCCGATCTTAAAATACAGACTTGAACCAGTAAAACTCGGTGCACATGAAGAAATACCTCACTAACTCACTTAAAAATAAATGTGTAATCATGCACAGTTAATATTTATTATCTGAGGCAATGAACCCCACCACTCCATGAAACAAAATATGGTGGTTTTACAGTATGGTTACACTGAAGTACGCGTATCAATATTGTATAATGTTAGTGTCACAGTTCAACATAGATTTTTCTAGTATTGCATTCACAAATTTCAATTATTTGTGTTCATAATTTAATGTTTGTCTAATTAAATTTCAATTGTTGGTGTTAGTCTAATTTAATGGTACTCTTGTTTGCAAACTAATTTTTGGAGGCTCTTTTTGGACACTTCTGTTCTTCAGCAGTAAATTTGGGAGAGCTTTTAAATATACCTTGTCATTCTACCTGGCCAACTTTTTATTGTGTCTAAAAGCTGGAAATTATAGAGGTATGCTGTTTTAAATTGTGATGAAAGCAAGTGAATTAACTGTTTGTGGGGATTTGCTGGAACAAAGATTTATAACAACTTAGGAGATTTGATATTAATATATTTTTTTCTTCTTTCTTCCTCCTGCCCCTCCCCCCCTCGCCACACACACCGTTATGTCACATTAGTTATGTTATCAATGCTTTCCTTTTGGGGTGGGTTGTAGTCAACAGTCTGGGATTTTTTTTCAATAAAATATAAAAGGTCTAAATTGTCCACAGGAAGTAAAGCTATCATCCAAACAAATCAAAAGAGTTGTCCCATATAAAACGTTTTTTGTTTAAAAATACTTCATCTTATATTGGGACTGCCACATTGAACACTTTGTAGTTAGTTTGTACTAAGGACAAGTTAGACGACTTTTGCTAAACAGCAGGATTCTTACAACCCTGTGTTTGTCACCTAAGTATTTAGCGTAATGTTAAAGTTTTGTCTGGAACTTGCAGACAAATGTATAATGTTAGGGAACAGAGACGAGAGATACATTGTAAGAATAATAAGCTGTTCTGTATGTCTGAACTGGTTACCCTTTTTTTTTTATGAGGTTCATTGAATGCAAATAGTAGTAAGAAGATTTATTTGGAATTTCTGCCTTTTGGCTGTTGCCCCAAGAGCCTGGTGTACATGATGTGTCACAGTCAACTGGGCAGGGAATCAAGTTTAGTCCCATGATATAGCACATGTTTAGCTAATGAAAACTTGTACATAGTGGAAATATGTGCATAAAGATAAAGTAGTAACTTGCAAACTGTTACAAAAGCCAAGCTACAGGACGCTTTTGATCATGGTGTGTTTTAAAAATTACAATATTCTGCTATTCTTCACTTATGCCGTCCTCCAAAATGTGATGCCCTTTGCATCATTTCTGTTGTGAAAGAAAACATAGGCTCAGTTAATTGATTTTATTTATTTTCATTGTATGATTTATGTACATGCACAGAGATTTTTCTGTATTCTATCTAAAGTGAATTGTACTCTTGTGTTGCTCACAGGGATATATTTTTTTCATCTTCAAACACTCTGTACTGCTAGCTAATCTGCATCTGTTCTGCATTCATTTGTAGAAACCTCACACCAGAAAGAGAATTCATAGTAGGTGCATAGTATTGACTGCTATGGTCATGTTGCAGCAGTTTCCATTATAGCCCCATTTTCAGTCTTGCATACCTTGTTGAAATGTTTTGTACCTGGTCTCTTCTCCTAAAGCAAAATCATCCTGGAAAGCTTGATGGCGGGGGTGAGAAGGGAGAATGATTTCTGACTGTTTTGAAAGAGGCGAATAGGAAGAGAATTAGTTTCCCACTTTATAAGAAATTGTATGGGCTGAACTTCCATACAGTTTACACCAACTTTCAAAATTCAGTTGTTTAGAAGTAGAGGAATTGAGTTTTGAGTGATTAAACAATCTGGGACTGGAGAGATGGATTCAATTTTCCACCTTGGAACCAAGCATGAAGCTGCAAAGCACAGACTGCCTCTGCACACCATGCTTACCCTCATTAAGAGTTGGCTAATGGAATTTGATCTAGGAATGTTGGATAGCGATTAATAGAATAGTTGAGAACAGCATGAAATCTTAGTGGTTACTTGACTATTCTATAGTCCCCGGGGATAGGGACAGCAGCCAGTGCACTTCAGCCCCCTATCATCCTGCGTGGCTGCCTCTGGCAGCAGCATGGGGTGCCAGGCGGGAGCTGGTCTGCGAGGGGAGCCAGTTTTAAAAAACAGTTCCCCTCGTGGACCAGCTGCCTGCCACTCTGCCCTGCTGCCTCTGATACAGAAGCAGCAGTGTGGGGTGGTAGCAAGGGTCCAAGCTCCCTGCAGACGGGGGCTACTGCTGGAGCAGCCTCTGTCCACAGCCAGCCCAAGTTGGGCAGGTGGCACTGCGGAGATGGTGCTGGGGAAAGCCAGCTCCCCCTTAACACCAGCTTCTGCTTTCCTCCTCTGCCTTGCTGCCTCTGTATCAGAGGCAGCAAAGGGGCGGAGAGCAAGTAGTCAACTGGATTAACTGATAAGCCTAGGCTTATTGGTTAATAGAGCAATCGACTACTTGCTTACATCGCTAATTTGATCTAGTCAACTTTGAAAAACAGGACTAGATCAAAGCACATTAATGAACTAGTAATACGCAGCATGGTGCACACAGAGCATGGCAGGATAGTGCAGGGTCCACACCTCTGCTGGCTGAGAACTGTTCATGTATACATGCCTTGACACTAGGGATGTAAAATCCCAGTTAAAAAGTTAACTGGCTGAACTTAACTCGGCAGTGGAGGGTTGCTCCAACCTGGCTGAGCCCTCCATTCCACAGGCTGCTTGGGCGGAGCCCACTGTAACACACTGCAGGCGGGGGGCTGGTTTGGTTGGGCAGGGTCTGCTGCACTACCACCAAACTGTGGTGTGGTTGTCCGGGCTGGAGAGCCTCTCATGGCGCAGTTGGCCTGGCCAGGCAGGAACAGTTCCCTGCCCGTGGTACTGGTTACCCTGATAAGCATGCCAGGCATGTAAGGGGCATGCTTACCATTAACGGGTTGACTAGTTAACCCTTTTACATCCCTACCTGTGTCAAAACAGACTAGTGATTTTGGGTGTTTAACTTAAAATCCCTAAATGGGGCCTGACCTTTTTTCCTCAAATTTTTAGCACCCATGCTTTCAAATTACACACGGGTGATGATAAATCACAATGGAAAAATGTCTTATTTAGGTCACTTTTTTTTATTTACATGTTGCTAGTACTTCTAATTTTAAGTCTTAAATTGCTTAAGTGGATAATTTTTTTTTAAAATAATATTTTTCTCCTACTTTGTTTTCCAGTTGTTAGTAGAATTACAAATTTTACATAGAGGATTTTTTCCCCCCCTATTACCATTTCTCATTTAAGATGCACAACAATGCTGGAAGAGACCAGTCCAGAACTTAACATCCTTACTCTGAGAACACCAATAATTTTAACAGCAAATGGCACAGCCTGTGTATGCAACCCACACCACCTTTTGATATATTTAACTTCCACAATAAAAAAAACCTGAAATATGTTGACCAGGCTATATGTCTCCATCAGGCTTTACCGTTTTAAGTAGGGATGTTAGCCATTTAATTGTGTAACTGTCAAATTTCAGTGGTTCCATGATTATTAGCCCCTGGGGCGGGGCCAGCAGTCAGTGCATTCCTGGCCCCCCCCCGGGGAGTCCGCGGGGCCAGCAGTCAGTGCATTCCTGGTTCACCCCCGGGGAGTCACCTGCCTCTCCATGCTGCTACCTCTGTATCAGTGGCAGAAGTGTGGGATGGCAGGTAGGAGCTGGTCTAAAACGTGGCTCCCCTCCCAGACCAGCTCCCACCTGCAGCAGCACGGGGTGGCACCAGTTCCTGTCCTTAGGTGCCCCGAGCTCCCTGTGTACAGAAGCTGTGCTGGCATCCCATGGAGCAGCCTCTGTCAGTGCCAGCAGCCACTGTCCAGGGGGGCCTGAGATCCCTACGGACAGAGGCTGCGCTGGCATCCCATGGAGCAGCTTTCCCTGCCTCTGATAGAGAGGCAGCAGTGCTGCGGGGCAGGTGGCTCGGCCTCAGTCAATATGCGCAAAGAGCTGGCTTGAAAACTGGCTTCTCACATGTGCTGGCTCCTGACTGCCCCCCTTACTCTCCATGCTGCTACCTCTCAGAGGCAGTATTTGCAGTATTGTGACTTTTTGTGTAGTTTTATACATTTCAGATATATTTATAATTAAATATGAAAATTAAACTTAGTGTTCTTTTGCATCTCAAGTTCAATTTGTGTATAGTAAATTTTTTCGTATAAAGGTTTTGCATGCTTGACATTGAGGAACGTTTTCTATATTGAAAGTAATAGTTACATTCATTCAAAAATATGTAATTACAGTTTACTAAAAAATAAATGCATTGGGCAGAATCTTACAATTTTGTTAGTTTTATTTCAGAGTTTGAAAGCCTGTCCTTTATTACCAGGAGTTAAAATAAATAGTGTTTCTGCAAAGATTCACAGTAAACTCTGATAGATATTCTAAAGCTGCAAAATACTTTTGGATCAATTTTCTCCCCTTTTTCAGTGAAGGAAGCATTGCTCTAAGAAAGCATTTCTAAGGAAGTATGGCCAACTTTGACTTCGATAGATACAGACCAAAACTGAACATAATACTAATATAGTCAGCTCACTTCACTTAATATCTAATAGCATCTTTTTATTATTAACCTTAATTAAATTATTGCATAGAATTGATCTATAAGACAATGTTATATCCCTGTTTTAAAGGAAGCTAAATAGATTCTTGACCGGCAATTAAAATAGGTGAACATTGAAGGAAATCAGTGTGAACATTTAAGGAAATCAAGCATGTTTTGAACTCACTTTGAAACAATGAGTTCATTGAATTGTTTATCGAAGAGAAAAAAAAGGGTGGGATGTGTTACTCGAATGAAATGACTGACAACTTTATAATAGATAGAACATTTGTGAAACAGTTCAAAATTTTTATCACCAGTGAATATTTTGTAACTTCAAAATAGTATACAGTGATTGTTTTGGTCACACTATTTAAAATGAACTATTTAAAAATGTGTTCATATTCTTGCATCTCAATTTGCATATTGTGTGTGTAATTTAAAATATTTGATATTAAGTGCAAAATACACTTGCAATTGAGAATACACAGTAAAGAATTTCATGAAATTATTGTGCTCTTAATTTGGTTATTATTTTTATGTAATTAAAATATAACCGTGCCTAATCTTTTGTTTTTTCTCATGATGTTTCATTAATTCAATTTGAAATAGCTCTTTTAACAGACAACAGGTAATTTGGCCTGAATTACTGTAGTTGCAATCTATTTTTACCCCCACTAATTAATTTTTTTTCCGTAAGTAGCTGATTGTTGCTAAACTGTAATATCAGAATGTAGTTTATCAAATAATGTAGACTTTTTAAAAGTTACTAGTGATTCTGGTTCCTTCAAACTTTAGGTGCTCAACATGAGGCACTTCAAAGGAGTCTGATTATCAGAGAGCCCTTACTGAAAATCAGACCTCTTTGCGTGGGCACTCAGAATCACTTTTTAAATATTTTGGCCTTATCTGTCCTTGTCAGTACTGCAGATATGTTTTCATCAATGAAAAATAGAAATGGGGAATTATATTTCTTTAATGCCTACTTTTGGCTATTGTATCATACAGTTCTTTTTTAAAAGAACATGGGCAGTGATTTATAATCATTCTTGTATAATTCTTATTTTTACAGTCCCAGAAATCCTGGATAGAAAACACTTTCACCAAGAGGGAATGTGTGTATATTATACCAAGTTCAAAGGACCCTCACAGGTAACCAGAAAATTTATGCCTGGCTTTTTTAATACTGTTTAATGAAACTGGAATAAAATAGAAACTCTTGCCTTAGTTCACTCCTTAGTGCCTAAGCATCCTAACCATATCTGTAAATGCCAGCAGTAGGCAAAGCTATCTACAGTGCTTCTTGTTGCACACTTCTTAAGATCAGAAAACATTGTAAAAATGTACTTCATAACTTTATACCGAGACTGGTAGAGAAAGAGTATTAGTCTGCAAGAAATACATTTCCTTTTGTGCTAAAAAGTTGACTTTAAGGAGTAGGGGAGAAATAAATCACAGTGTAGGGCAGGAAGAGATGGCAAATTCAATGGCAAAAGAAAAGAAAGAACTCCAAAGGAGCTAAAGTTGACATGGGCCGTACAGAATCAAAGGTGGAGGACAGTTGTGTTTTCAGAAAACTTGATTGATCTCAGGATGCATGTGATACTGTTTCCCTCACCACCCTCTTGTACAAATTTTCTGGAGGGAAAACAATGGGAAAAGACTGAAAGAAGGGTCAAAAAGGGTATTTAAAATTTACAATTGTGGATGGCATTAAAAATGATGAAAATCTGCAGATATTAGTATTTTACTTGGTAAGCATTGGGTAAGAAGACACCTGACTTGAGACACATTAAACAATACAGGGTGTAATAAAACTGGTTAAATGCTGTATTAGCTTAGTCTTTCATAATACCTGAACAAGATGATGTGAAACTAAAATATGCAGTCACCTTAGAAAAATGACCTCTCACGCATCTAATTACATTGTGAAATTCACTGTTTCTAGAAGCCATTCAGATATAAATTATCAGGATTCTTAACAGGATTTTAATTTATACATGCTGTAGCATCTTGCTGCCTCACTTTTTTTTTTCCTTGAAAACCATCTCCAAACACAATGATGTTAAATCTATTGGTACATAGCAATTAAAAAAATTGCTAGAATTAGGAATACTAGTTATAATTTAACTGCTGCTTCAGCCCCAAGTAAGTGTTACTTAGGTTCACACGAATTTTAGAATTAAACTTCTGCTTTTCAGATCCAGAAAGAAGTGCTAGTTCAAGTCCTGCACGTAAAAAAACACTTGTCTGAACTTAGCCAAATTGTACTAATACTAGTTTTTTCTGATTATATTTGTTACAGGCAGAATAAGGGAAATTGAGTTGTAATCTGTGAAATGTACCACAAATGATTCATTAAATTCCTTGAAGCCATGGGACCCTGAGAAGGTTTTAGAATTTACTGCCATGATCCAATTGAAACACATGGAAAACTTGCAAATGCAAGCAGTGTAATTAGGAAGCTATTAAAATTTCCAGAGCATTTCCCAGGGAACAAAACAGTCTTTCAGTGCTTGTCTTTTTTAAGTTTAACCCATTTGTAGCCCAGAGATGAATTCTCACATTTGGCCAATCCATTTTTTAGATATTATCGTACGGTAGTTCCTGAAATGTGAATGAAGGAATCAAAGGTAGATGAGAAACATTTTTAGATGTCTAGCAGAATAATTTTGCTTAGCATACATTGTGATCTATAGTTAGAGACCAAATTTGGCAGTTATTGAAATCTAGTTTCATATTAAATACCCAGATTATTTATAACTAAATGTACCTTTCAAAAGGCTAAACCTGCTTTGTTTTAATTTATTTAGCATATTTAGGAACATAAGAATATGCAATATAATTTTATTTTAGATAATTTTTCTACAGTCTTATGCAAGAATATATTATGGACTTGGATTGTATGGATCACTTAATTGTGTATGATGCAAATTACAAAAAACTGATGCAAATACAGGCAGTCCCTGGGTTACGTACAAGATAGGGACTGTAGGTTTATTCTTAAGTTGAATCTGTATGTAAGTCGGAACTGGCGTCCAGATTCAGCCGCTGCTGAAACTGACCAGCGGCAGACTACAGGAAGCCCGGGGCAGAGTTGCTCTGCCCTGGGCTTCCTGGAATCAGCCTCTGATCAGTTACAACAGGTTGAATCTGGACGCCAGTTCCATACAGATTCAACTTAAGACCCCCAGGCGTCCCCAAGTCAGCTGCTGCTGAAACTGATCAGCGGCTGATTCCAGGAAGCCCGGGGCAGAGCAACTCTGCCTCGGGCTTCCCAGGAAGCCCGGGGCAGAGTTGCTCTGCCCTGGGCTTCCTGGAATCAGCCTCTGATCAGTTACAACAGGTTGAATCTGGACGCCAGTTCCATACAGATTCAACTTAAGACCCCCAGGCGTCCCCAAGTCAGCTGCTGCTGAAACTGATCAGCGGCTGATTCCAGGAAGCCCGGGGCAGAGCAACTCTGCCTCGGGCTTCC